AATGTCTAGGGCAACGCCTGAAATGAGAATCAAAATCGAAGTACCCGTTCGGATGATAAGCGTATCATCGGGAAAATAGGTCTGGCCAGACATCTGTATGACTGCCGGTCGATGTGAATGTTCATGAGGAACGGCCAACCTCAAAATGTCACGTCCTGAAACCCTACCAGGAAAGACATGAGCAAATTGTCGCCGCCGCAAAGCAAGGCCATCAGTGCCCTGCAAACTGACAATCACAGCAAAGGATTCACTAGGCAATCCCTGTGTCACGATCACATGGGGGTACAAAGTTTCAGCAGCAACTGTGGGCAAAAGATGCTGAAACGCCACAAGGTCAGCAGGGGAACCTCGGATCAAGTGGTCTCTCCATGGGAAAATACAGTCAGTCCTCCACATGAAAGATTCTTCAGTGAGGTTAACTGCACGATGCTGATCACAGTGATGATTCTGTTCACTGTTTACATACCAAGTAATCACCGCAAGCACAGGCGTGTGGTCAATTTCCTGAAATGTATGACCCATCCGAAAATGCTTTTCCAAAATTGGGATCCAGGGTGGTCGTTCGTCAATTGGTTCACCAGACGAAGAACTTGCATTTCCGCTAGCAAAATCCATCAAGTTGCCAGACAGAAAACCAGGATCAGATGGTCGGTCATAAATTTCACTGTGGATGGCACGCTGCAAAACCCGTCGAATCTGTGAATTCTCCATTGTCAAAAGATGCGGAACATCAATGAAAATCCCTCTACTAATGACTAAACGGAATGCATTACCATCACGCACATTCACTTCGTGCTCACTGCCAATGGGTACACTTCCATACCAAAGGCTGCAGAGATTACGGATATTAATGGGTGGGCAGTCCATCTGCAAGTGCAAGACCTCACTCAACCTTTGCAAATTGATGCGCCTGTTCAAAACAATCGCAAATGTGTGGGGATTGCGGGCAGTATCTTCATCTGAGTCATAAACCGAAAGAATCGCTGACCGTTTTTCATTCAATTCATTTTCAGTCACAATCAACTGACCGACAATACCAGTTGCACTGTCTTCGGGCATGGGCTCAACCAGAGCAAAGGTGAGGCTCTGCCGACTAGTCACTTTGTCATTCCAGGTCGCTGCAATCTGCTCTCGCCATTGCATAAAGTCAGAATTGAGCAAGGTGATTCTGGATGAGTGACATCGATGGAAATTATTGTGATTCAAATACCAGCTTTCAATTCGGAATGGTTCTGACAGAAACAAAGAGCTCGATTCAACCTCATGATTAAATCTGATCCAAAGTTCCTGAAATGCAGAGGGCTGTGCTTCAATTGACAAGGGGTCAATAGGCGTCGGCCCCTCATCATTCGCTCTGTTGGCAGCTTCCATTGCCTGTAAGAATTCTTCCGTAAAACTGTCACAGGGCAAGTTAAGCTCACAGGTGGGTGATCCAACAATGAGTTTTCCGTTGTCAGATTCCCGACTTCTTTGGAGCAAATGGCTAAGATCGTCCTCTTCACCATCGGTCATGACAGCATCTGGCCCTATCGCTAGTGCCCTGACATCGGCTTCACTGAGAAGGCTGGGAGAGTACCCTGATAAAGCCTCGTCATTATGCATAACATGCACAATTTCATCATCGGTCATGCCTGCTTGTCTCAGGTGGACGAGGTCCTCAGTTGGGCATGCAAACCCATCTGAGGGTGGCACCGCAATGCGGGCATGGTCACCATTGTTGATGACACGGGCACTTCCATCATAGTCCGGCCATCGCTTTGCATCAAGAAAAACAAGGCAACGCCCGTTCTCACTCGTGCAGTAGCGATCAACATCTGCTGCACGCAAAAGTCCATGCCTGCCAACGCGTGAAGGCACCACAATGACAAAACGTTGAACAACTGGGCCTAATTGGAAGTGATCTTCAACTCGATTGCCATGGATTTCAAGGTCAAGCAAAACCAATTTGGAATGATGATAGGGCGGGAAGTCATCCCTCATATGGACAAAAATTGGTACCACATTGGCATCAAGATCTGGCAGGGGAGTGACGACTTCATAGGCATCAATCACTTGCAAGCGTTCAACAGCAAAATGATGTGCAATTTCCGTCATAATCTCTTCAAATCCATCCCAGTTCAAAAAGGTATGAATAGGTGGGTCATGTAAGTGATAGAGGATTACTTCTTGTCGTGCTGTGGGAGCCTCTTGCTGAGTTCCCTCATCATTGGCGGTGGGGACATCAGCTGAAGAGCTTCCAGTGTCTGACATTTCCGCATCACTTTCTGGTGACTCGACAGCAGTGAACACATGTGTATGTCCTTGCCTGAATGCATCAACTAATGCTTGGTCCCCTCCACTATGCGGATCGTTCTTACAGACAGCAGGTGTAGTAAGATGGGTTTGCATGAAAACCGCGGTATCATGAAAATCCACATCCCCAACTCGGGGTCTTTTCTGATGGTTTTGTGATCCAATCGAATCCCGGCTCAACACGGCCCTAGAGGACAGCGGTTCCTGGGAAACAATTGAACATTTGTCACGTTCGGGAGTAGGAGGTTCCGTTGCCTTCTGTCGGATCCGTTTCTTGCTCCAAGGCTTCGCACACCAATTGTGGATCACATCTTGGGCAACTTTCAGGCAACTCATCTCAAGACCATCTTCATCGCCAATATAAACATCAATCTGATCCTCAAACTGGACTTGCATTCCCACAGTGTCTCTTGAATGGGGTCTTTGAGATGCTACCAAAGGGCGACAGATGGAAGCAAAAGATTCCAAAACTGAATTTTGAGAATAGATATCCGAAAATACTTCCCATTGCAGGTGCAAGGCATTGAGGGCCGCCTGGAATGGACTAGTATATCGTGCTTCTTCCATGATAGAGTGTGTCCAAGGAAGGCATCGCTCAGAAAATTCGTCCCGAAAATTCGTCCCAACAACTGCATGCTGCACCAGTCAGTTCGCTGACTTCCTGATAGGCCTCAACAGTTGAAGCAATGGACTGCACCATAATGGCCTCATGGAATGAATTCCTTTGAACTTCATTCACACGGCCTCCGATCACGATGTCCTGGAAGGAGCAGCAAAGGGCTCCAAGGAGCGCTGCCGTTTGGGACGCTTGTCCCCATCTTCGCCACCTTCCTCTTCGGTGATCTCGATGGGCTTGGGCGCAGTCAGGTCCAAGCCAAGGGACCCTGCACAATTCTGCAGGACACCCTGGAGCTGTTTCCGCAACGCCTCTTCCTCTCGATCTGCGACATCCTCGGTTGTGTCTTCTGGCTCCACTGGAATTGTTGGCATAGGTGGTGCTGACCCCCCTGCAGCTGTGCTGCTCAGCTGTTGGATGATTCTGCTGGTCGCAGTAATCTCCGTTCTTGCCTTTCCCGCTTGCTCTGTGAGCATCGCCTGATGCTTGCGAAAGTCCTCTAACTGACTTTCCCAAAGCTTGATGCCGCTGGAAAGGTGTGCCATCCAGAGGGAGCGATGTGCCCGTCGTTGATCTGTGACTTCGCCAAGGTGCTTCTTTACTTTGCCTAAGTATTTGGTGGCCTGGTGCAGACTCTTGATGCCTGTGCGGCCTGACTCCTGCTCTGCCTTTTCGAGGAATAGCTTCGTATCCTCTGGCATCGTTGTGGGATCCGGGTAAGCTTTCCTGATGTGCTCGACCCATTCTTGCTTCTCGCTGATTGTGTTGGCTGGCATTTGCGAAGCAAATGGACTGGCTGGCAAAGCCGAAGAAGGCATGAATTTGGCCGAGTCCATGGCAGCCCAGGGCGCAAACCCCTCTTCCTTCTGGAAAGGGGAAACTTGCTCGCTCGGGGTACCTTGGTTCTGACCACTGCCAGGCTTTGCTCCTTTCTTCCCTTTTCCTTTGCCTTTGCCACGCCCATGTCCCTTCTGCACAGGCTGCTGGTGATAACTGTATGCACTGGTACTGGCGGTCTGTGCATCTTGCCGGTACCTGGTGGCAGAACGACTTCCTGAACGGCTTGAAGCCCAGCTCGAGGTCTCGTCCCAATCCTCCCAGTTGGGTGCCTTCCAGTTGTACACCTTTGGCTCGGTCCGATGTCTTGTGCCCGCCTGCCATGATCCATAGCAGATTGCACACTCTGTTGCATATTTCTTGTTGATACGACCACATGGACACCGCCATGGGTAATATTCTGGTTCTTCTTCTGGATCCATTGCTCGATGAATTTGGGCAATAAATTGCTCGTCTCGACTGTGATGCTTGCTCAAAATGTTCTTGATTCTCTGCAGAGCACTGGAAGACAGTGCAATACGGCCCTTCTTGAAGAGAAACCAATGCTTTCTGGCCCCGGCTCTTGCTCTGCGGGCTTTGCGTCGGATTGTCTCTTTGTTGGGCGGAATTGTGAGAAAAAATGAGAATGAAGATCACACAAAATAAGCTGGCCAAAAAATTGCACATAAACCAAATCGCCAAAAGGGCAATGTACACCTGGTGATACGCTCACCAGCAGAGGCGCTGCAAATGGATACTGTCGACAAATGAGGTGTGTAAAAAGAGACCAGGGCAAGCCGATACAGTCAATACAGCACTCAGATGTAACAATTCCACAAGTCCTTGCAAATCCAAATGAAGAGCACACCAAAGGTACACGACAGCAGTGGTGCGTAGATAAATGTAAATGCCAAAATTAGAAATCCGGTGGTCAATCAAATGACAGCAGCGGAAATAGCAAAATGTGAATTGTGAAGAAGCCAGAAAAATCAAATGTGTTTGCCGAAGAAAAGGAATTCCACGCGTATACCCACAACGCCGGAAATCCCGTGGGGTAATGGCGTACCCGCTAAGGTGGAACAAGCAAATCGGGGGCGAGCTTGAACCAAACCTTGCCATCTTCCCCTTAAAAAAAAAAACAACAAGCAACCAATCCTGGCACATCCCGAAAATCTCCCCATTCCTACTTACTGTAGTATATTGGTCTCAATTTTTTTTTACAAAAACATTCTGGTGAGATTGCCCCCCAATTTCAATGGATCTCCCCAACTCCAGCCTCAACTCCATGGCTCCTGGCGTCTGTCGCACGAACTTCTCCAGCCGCGCCCCGCTCCAAGTGCCAACTGCAGACATCACTGCAGCCGGTGGCGCGCGCCGCGGCCGCGCCTCTGGGGGCGGGGCAACATCATCTCGCCGCGGCTTGCTGACCATGGAACTCTTTCGTTCCTTGACACCGAAGCGGTGCTCTTTTCCTGCAATGGGTCGAAAAGGGAAAGGGATGAAAGGGGATGGGAAAGCCTGGCGAGAAGAGTGAGATTAGTGAGAAGTGAGAAGTTACTACCCCGGATCATCTAAATATCTAATAGGTTAAAAAGGTCTGCAAAAAGAACACGGGTCCCAGTTGTGAGTAATGTTCATGCATTTTCTGATGGCTTTGGCCGGCCTCCAGGAAAGCCTTGCCCCGAGTAGTTTCGCTCAGAGGCTTCTCTGTTGCCCTTCTGACGGTAGCCGCCTTTGTCCCCGCGATCGCGATTGTCATAGCGATCCTGGACCTTCTTCTCTGCAACTGCATGTGAAAGTTGATTTAAGTTGTAGAGCAACCCTTGTCTGTCTCGCTCAAAGTCAGCCTGGCGAAGGATCCCATTGCTACCAGGAACTAGAAACTGAGTTGCCAAGACTAACGAAACCAGTGACTAGTAGCACTGCGGCATTTGATGACAAAAAGCTGCTAGAAGCAGAAGAAAAAGAAGAAGAAGAAGAAAAAGAAACAGAGTAGGTCTGCAAGTCTGCAAAATTGGAAAGACTAGACTAAACAGCCCTAATAAAAAGAGGTCATCTAATAGTCGAGTATAGTCGAGTAATCAACTCAACAGAAACCACAGAACGGCAAAAGCTATCTCACAATTCTTGGAACCCTTGGCGCCTGCATTCGCGCAGTCTCATCTTCCCTGCGGTTCAACCTATCTTGCAGGGACCGCAACTCTTCCTCCTTGGACCGGAGCTGCATCTCATAACGAGCCTGAACCTGCGCTGCTCGAATGCGTTCAGCATAATCTTCCTCTTCCTCCCACTTCTCCTTGCCAAAAATCGGCTCATGCATTGACTGAGGCCTGGAAGGCGGCATGTCATAGCTCTGAAAACCTTGGTGCCAAAAGCCACCTGTGGGGCCCCCGGGAGCAGCACACATCCCATGGGACATTGGAGGCATGCACATGCCATTGGACTCAGTCATCGGAGCAAAACATGCCCCCACCACCGGCCCAAAGACGGCGGTGCCTAAGGGCCGGGGTGCTGCGGGACCCGGAGCCGTGACTGCCCGGGGGGCGGGAGAAGCAGCCACAGCAGGAGGGCCGTTACTGGGGGAGCTGCCTGACTGCAGGGACCCGGGCACGAACTCGGGCGCGGAGGTTTTCCAATCCCATTGATCCAGCATCATTTGGATGGCGACCAAGACGGCACCGGGGTGGAAAAGACCTGACCCCCAGATGGAAAAAAGAAGAACAAAACAAAAGGGGCGGACTGGGGGCGGAAGTTGAGTGATGCCTCGAGGTGCAACTTCCAAGTGTGGCTTCTGTCAATGTGGCTTGAGTCATCGTTCTATCATGATCTACAAAGTTGACTGCGATTTTGTGTGCTTTGTCTGCATCAAGTAAACCCCAAATCCTAATAATCTACATCGCAACCACTGGGGGCTGGAGCCAACGAGAGATCCATGAATTTTCAGCATGGCCCTCATGAAATGTTTCCAGCTACGTAGAGGAATATCTAAAGGTAATGGTATGTACATTATTAGTAGACTATTGTAGACTCCATTCTTCAATGGATGGTGCTGCAATTTCAACAAACAAATCCGCTGGTCGCCGCTGATCCACCCTCTGGGAGCCGCACCCAAGCAACTGGTTTTTTTCGTTGTTTCGCACCTGTCAACCACGGTGTTCTTCAGGGGAATCAGGGAGAGTTACCACCAAAAGGGGCAAGTTCTGGATCCTGTGGGTCCTTTCTGAGGTTTTTTGCACCTCAGACTTTTAGACAACAATCTTGGGTGCTTTCCTCGGAAGCAGCCGGGGGGCCGGCGCACTCAAAGAACCAAAACCAATGGCGAGTTCGCCATGGCGTCGTTTCTGTGATTGGGTCAGATCTTGACGCCGTAGGTTTTGTAACCCAAAATTTCACTCATCCAAACGCCGTCTATCACTGTTTTTTTTTGTCAACGATCTGAAAGCCCAAGGGTTTGTGGTGTCAACAAAAATCCAAGGGCCGAAAAAAAAAAAACAATTCCTATCTGTATTATTGCTGTTTCCCACCCGAAAGTATATTATGAAAGTCATATTTTTTCCCGAGAGCGTCTGAGCGCAGGGTTCTTCCAATAGTGGGGGTCTGTAAAACATCTTCTCATCTTCACATCTTCTCTCACATCTGCTCATCTTCACATCTTCTCTCACATCTTCTCTCACATCTGCTCATCTTCAAATCTTCTCTCACATCTGCTCATCTTCACATCTTCTCTCACATCTTCTCTCACATCTTCTCTCACATCTTCTCTCACATCTGCTCATCTTCACATCTTCTCTCACATCTTCTCTCACATCTGCTCATCTTCACATCTGCTCATCTTCACATCTGCTCATCTTCACATCTGCTCATCTTCCCATCTGCTCATCTTCACATCTGCTCATCTTCACATCTGCTCATCTTCACATCTGCTCATCTTCACACCTTCTCTCACATCTTCTCATCTTCACATCTGCTCATCTTCACATCTTCTCTCACATCTCTCTCACATCTTCTCTCACATCTGCTCATCTTCACATCTTCTCTCACATCTTCTCTTACATATTCTCTCACATCTTCTCTCACATCTTCTCTCACATCTGCTCATCTTCACATCTTCTCTCACATCTGCTCATCTTCACATCTTCTCTCACATCTTCTCTCACATCTGCTCATCTTCACATCTTCTCTCACATCTTCTCTCACATCTGCTCATCTTCACATCATCTTCACATCTTCTCTCACATCTTCTCTCACATCTGCTCATCTTCACATCTTCTCTCACATCTTCTCTCACATCTGCTCATCTTCACATCTTCTCTCACATCTTCTCTCACATCTGCTCATCTTCACATCTTCTCTCCTTTCTCTCTCCCTTTTCTCTCTCTCGCCTTCTTTATCTTTCTCTCTTAAGGCCGACGAAATGAGGGTCGATCGTCAAAAACTGAGGAAAAATTGCGATTTTACTTGTCCCGGAGCAACCCTTTCGCACGAAATGAGGGTCGATCGTCAAAAACTGAGGAAAAATTGCGATTTTACTTGTCCTGGAGCAACCCTTTCGCACGAAATTAGGGTCGATCGTCAAAAACTGAGGAAAAATTGCGATTTTACTTGTCCCCGAGCAACCCTTTCGCACGAAATGAGGGTCGATCGTCAAAAACTGAGGAAAATTGCGATTTTACTTGTCCCCGAGCAACCCTTTCGCACGAAATGAGGGTCGATCGTCAAAAACTGAGGAAAAATTGCGATTTTACTTGTGCCGGACTTGTCTGTGTGTAAAAGCGTCTGTGTGTAAAAGCGTCTGTGTGTAAGAGTCTCTGTGTGTAAAAGTGTTTGTGTGTAAAAGTGTTTGTGTGTAAAAGTGTTTGTGTGTAGAAGCTTCTGTGTGTAAAAGCTTCTGTGTGTAAAAGCGTCTGTGTGTAAAAGCGTCTGTGTGTAAAAGCGTCTGTGTGTAAAAGCGTCTGTGTGTGGAATAAGGCGTTGGGGGTGTCAAAGGCGTTCGTGTGAATATGAGCGTCGTAGTGTGGATAAGAGTCTCTGTGTTGGAGAAAGTGGTATTGGTGTGGTGTAAATGAGTGGTTGTGTGTTGTAGAAGGGCCGGCGTGTTTAGTGTGTAAGATAGCTTCGGTGTGTGTTGGTAAAGCTTCTGTGTGTAAAAGCGTCTGGGTTGTAAAAGACTGTGTGCACAAAGCGTCTGTGTGTAAAAAGAGTTTGTGGTGTCCAAAGCGTCTGTGTGTATGTTGTAAAAAGCGTCGGTGTGTGTCTAAAAGCAGTCTCTGTGTTAAAAGCAATGTGGGTAAAAAGCGCTGTGTGTTCCAAAGCGCTGTGTGCAAAAGCGTTGTGTGGTGTTAAAGACGTTGTGTGTTTGTAAAAGCGTCTGTGTAAAAGCGTTGTGTGTAAAAGCGTCTGTGTGTAAAAAGGTCTGTGTTGTAAAGCGGTATGTTTGTAAAGGTCTGTGTTGTCAAAGCGTCGGTTGGGTAAAAGGGTCTGTGTGTAAAAAGGTTGCCGGTGTCAAAAGCGTCTGTGTGAAAAGCCCTGTGGGTCAAAGCGTCGTGCGTAAGAAGCATATGTGTTTGTAAAAAGCTTCGGTGGGTGTTAAAAGCGTCCTTCTGGGGTGTAAAAGGTTTGTTGTGTGTGTAAAAGCGTCTGTGTGTAAAAGCGTCTGTGTGTAAAAGCGTCTGTGTGCAAAGGTTTCTTTGTGTAAAAGTGTCTGTGTGTAAAAGCGTCTGTGTGTAAAAGCGCCTGTGTGTAAAAGGGTCTGTGTGTAAAAGCGTCTGTGTGTAAAAGCGTCTGTGTGTAAAAGCGTCTGTGTGTAAAAGACTGTGTGCAAAAGCGTCTGTGTGTAAAAGCGTCTGTGTGTCAAAGCGTCTGTGTGTAAAAGCGTCTGTGTGTAAAAGCGTCTGTGTGTAAAAGCGCTTGTGTGTAAAAGCGTCTGTGTGTAAAAGTCTCTGTGTGTAAAAGCGTCTGTGTGTAAAAGAGCCTGTGTGTAAAAAGCGTCTGTGTGTAAAAGCGTCTGTGTGTAAAAGCGTCTGTGTGTAAAAGCTTCTGTGTGTAAAAGCTTCTGTGTGTAAAAGCGTCTGTGTGTAAAAGCGTCTGTGTGTAAAAGTCTCTGCGGGTAAAAGCCTCTGTGTGTAAAAGTCTCTGTGTGTGAAAGCGTCTGTGTGTAAAAGTCTCTGTGTGTAAAAAAAAGTCTCTGTGTGTAAAAGTCTCTGTGTGCAAAAGCGTCTGTCTGTAAAAAGTTCTGTGTATGAAAAACTTTACAAAAATACGATGCAAACTATTGTCTTGTACTAGTCATATATTGTCTTGATACTACTCTTCTCGTCTGCCTATCATACATCTTTATCATATTATCTTGTAATATAGTGTCTCCATACTAACAACAGAAGACTCTGCTCCTCTACGCTCTCGGGCCATCCGTCGTCTAGTTTTTTTTTGGAAGACGCCCAAATTCGGTCGGTTCCAGGAGCTGGGAACCTCCAAGAAGCTACGCTTTCTGTCACTCCCAGCCCGCAGCAGGGAAGCTGACAGGATGGCCTCAGTCACCCCTGAGAGGGCGGCTGGAGTTGGATCTCAATGATGAAATGGCTATGTCACCCTAGATAGTGCCATCTATATTATATCATATTATAATATACATTTATATACTATAATATATTACTATATGTATCTATATGTTATGATAACGTGGGATTAATTAATCATCCCATCTATGATCCATCTATGGAATCACCCTATTCAAAATCACAACAGATATGGGATAACCCCACTGAGGGGACTTGCTGACCAGGGTTGTGTTACTTGACAGGCTGAGTCGAATCGTACGCAACAGCTTAAAACCTCTCTCTTGTGTTTGGAAATCTATTTAATATATATGTCAGTTGTTCACATCCGAGCATATTTCCTTTGGAGTGACTCCTGCACTGTTCAACGATCAGCTCAGCTAGGAACTCGTTTGGAGTGTTGCGAATAGACTTTCAGAGTCCATTCCTTTCCAGCCTGCAGCCGGCGCCCAAGTTGGGTTTGGGTTTGGAGGCACAAAATCACAACCACCGCCGCACCAATGCCTGGATAGGGTTTAAAGGCACCTGCGGAGAAGGAACAAGCAACATCTTGACGGTGAATTGGTGAATTTCATTGGCAGTATGTTTGTCGTGCAGCTACCACTACCCTTAACAAGACAATGTACCCAGCAGCATGTCCTTTTTGTGTTTACAGCCATGCACTTGTGACAAAGACAACAAATATGTTACCTTTGATGCAAGGACCTGTTGCCCTGTGGCTGCGGTGTCCGTTTTGCTTTTAATTAAATTCCGTCCTTTCTTTTGCCTTGTGTTTATTCTTTCTCTTTCTTTCGTTAGCTGTCTTTGCTCTTTGTCCACCGACCTTGTTGTTTGAAACTCAACCGGCTGAATTTCAGTCCGGTTTGCTTTCAATTCTGTCTTTTGTTTGTTTACATTCTTTCTCTTTCTTCTGACCTTGTTGGTTTGAAACTCAACCAGCTGAATTTCATTGCCAGTATGTGCGTGCTATTGAAATGATGCTTGACAGCTATACAAACTTCCAAAATGTTCAAAACATCCAATGGATAGGTGTTCTGCGAAATTACCTTCTGGATCCTTCTGGTAATTTCACCTGGCAATCGGAAATCCGAATGTTCAATGGAAAAATCAGTTGAGATCAGGTATTTCTCCTTACTATTTTCCAGAAGCCGAGGCGCCACAATGGGTTGGTGCATGGACGACATGAACTGTGGACCTTGCTGCCAACAGGGACATGCTTGGACCCTTTTCAAGCTGATATTCTAAGGTGGTTGGTGGTGGGTCACCCATAAACATATGTGTCCTTTCAATTTCGACATCTTCCCATGTTGGAAGGTAACACGTATAATATGTATAATGACACCACCAACCAGTCGATGAATTGATCTGACACACCACTGCCGAACCGGATCAACGGGAAGCCATCCCAAAGCTATCCAGTGATGACCGGTGATGACCGGTGATGACCGACGAACGCTGAGCCAGTCGCATATTGCTGGTAAAGCTTCATTCTTGAGACCCTCTGCAGGCTGCACAAAAGGCACCTGCTGGTTGTCGAACTGGCATTGATTTGTTGAACGGGAGGTGATGTTTCACTCTTTGCAGAAATGCCAAGCAAAAAGATGCAAACAAAATGAAGTGTTGATTAGTTTGCATGAGTTTGAGCTATAGCTAATGTCATTGCGGAATCGTGGAAGAAGCACACTGACATTTCATATGTGGAAAGCTTGCAATGGCTTGATCCACGAGAGGTGTGGTTCTCATAAGTCTAGATCTGTCATTCAATCCAAGGGTAGTTGTGAACATTCATCCATGGCATTAATCTTTCAGAAACAGCAGTTTTGCTGATGCAACTTGATCTTGACACCATCTCCGCCTCTGCATGAGTGCGGGCCGCCTGATTGAGCACTGTGAGGAGCGCCATCTGAAGATTTGTGGATTAGATCAAATCGAAATAAATCGAATAGATTATATAAATACTGCATGTAGAAGCTTAAAACAAAACGATACTGTTTTGGAGGTGCCCAATTTCAAGGAACCACCACTTTCTGCCTACAAGAACTTTCTCAAGGTGTCAATGGTTCTCAGATTCTAAACTTTTGCACTGCCAATACTCCAAGTATGCCTGGTAAGATATCGCGAAAAATGGGCTGTATCTTTGCTTCAGAGCACCAACAAAAAATGGCTCAGGCTTCACCTTGGCTCCAGCTTCCTCGACTTCCTTTAGGTCTTCCTTCATCAAGTCCTTCAATGCCATCCGGGCCTTGGTGCGCAAAGCGAATTTTCAGAAGTTTAAGCTCCCACCATGTCCCCATCCCACCTGCTAGGGCCCCCCTCGAAGCAGGCCAGCATCCCGAAAAAGCAAAGAAGCACGGCTCCAAAGACCATGAACATCACCTGAAACCATACTGAAACCACAAGATACTGCAACGATACTGCAGTGCCCTGACGCCATCATTCATCACTGGCTTTTGGTGACAGAAAACAACCAAATCCATGTATGGTTGGGGATGCCCAAGTGGGCCATTGTGAACCAACAGAAACCAGCAAACTTGGACATACACGATGAATGCAACGGAAGTAAAGGGTGTACCCCAGCCAAAGGGAGATAGAGAGAGATTGTGTAAATGACCAAATTGGTGTGTTGTTGCTGGCACTCCAAATCAGTCATAGATTCCAAATCAGGATCATTCAGGCCATTAGCATGTTCTCATCAAGGGACTCCACTAACCGAACCTCATCACCCGTATACTAATCTTCATCCATAAATTAATACAGCCTCCAGTAAAACAACGTAGATATGGAAAACCCATGAAAATCCATGAAAATCCCACCATTCTAGTTCCTTCTTGTGTTTTCTGAATTTTCCAGATCTTTCCAGATCTACTCAAAGTTGATGTCAGCTACTTGGGGCCCTTGGGGGGGAGCTGGGTGAAGTCACCGTGGCATCGGTGCCGTCGATCTTGCTGGCCACCTGCCTCAGCATCACCTGGGCGCCGAAAGATTTACACCTTTGGACCCAAGATTGGGCATTTTTGAAATACAGCACAAATGGAAAACATACTGAATGGAACAATGGAGAGACTCAGACAAAGGATATGAAAACTCATGAAAACTCTGTACTCCAGAGATGAGCAAAGCTGATTAAGTTGGATATCTTCGCATCGATCGTGGCAGTTTTAGTTTTCACCAGCATATCCCACCAGGCGCCATAATGGGTGCATCGGCCAAGGGATGCATCCAAAACTAAGCTCCTCACAGCCGGTCTTGCCTCAGTATATTGCATGGAATGGGAAGCTTGTTGCAGGGACCTAGGGATCCACAATATTCCACAATTCTGTGCTTCACAGTGCCCATAGCTTGAGGACTTGCTCGAACCGGAAACTCCCACAAATTCTCGGCAAATCATCGGCAAATCGCCAATCGCAAATCATAGGATTATGGGGGATGTGTATGGAATTCTCACGATTCACTTTGTGATAAGTTCCCAATGGTAAACAGCTCCACCATTCATCCTGTGAGTCTCGGGCGTGGTACCAATGGAGAAAAGTCTGCAACCAGCGTCCTCGTCATCGAGGGCCCGGCCCAAAACTGCGCTGCTTATAGCAACCCCAAAGAAAAAGTTGGAAAACAGTTGACAAAATATGGGAGAAATATCCTCTATGCCGTCCTGGAAACACGTTTTATGCATCTTTTTGGGGAGTGCTATTCACGCCATATCCATCCATATCCAAGCCCTTCCTTTTACGATGCTCCACATCTTCACCAGCACCTTGCCTCGTATTGAAGCCCAGTTTCGAACTGGTTCTGTCTGCCTGCCGTGTCCATGGAGGAAGAAACCCTCAATGGTACCACTCGGTTTCTTCAGAATTTCCCGCATAAAATGAGATCCTCTGGTCATCTAACTTGGCCTTTAACTATACCGCATTCATACCGCAACCGGAAATAATGTTCCCGCTGAAAAAAATGGTTTTCTGTTGACTGTTGTGACGTACTATACATCATCATCTGATTCAACAAATTTGGCAATGCAGAATTGCCGTGTTCAAGGGGATCTGCTCGGGACAGATTGTTGTGTGGTGCTTGTATATCTGCTCACGCTTCACTGATGGCAATTCTGCTTCTGGTGGAGGGAATCCAGAAAGAAACTCATCATCTCCGGTTGTACAATATCAAGTTCAATCATCTTTCCTTGTGGTACAGTATATTCTCCACTGCTTCAACATCTTTGCTTTGTCTATATAAGATTATATAAGTGGATATAAGTACAAATCGTAGCCCTTCACCTTCAACTTTCTGGCAGTTCATCGTCGCCTGGGAGCTTCTGCAGCTTCCAGCGGGCGACCACTCTGCAAGCAGGACACCTGTGAGGTTCCCACAAAGGGGGTGGGAACCTTCCAAAGTGGCGATTTACCGCCCGATTTCTTGAAAGACGATGGAAAATGATGACAAACCCACGACCCGGGATGAAACTAGTAAGCATATCACCCCATGTTTTTCCATCAACAACCAGGGATGAACTGGGGATGGAGATGTGTGCGACCAAATTCATGTCTTGCAATCCTTCTCGGAAGATGCTCAGTGATTTATTTTCAGATGTTGAGAAACCTTTTGACTGGATGCATCTCTAAATTCAGCAGCACTTTCCGAAAATGCAGAATCAACGGCTCAAAATGCCGAACACTTGCAAACCTTGCCATTTTAAGATAATATGACCTGTAAACTGAGACTATTCGTCTGGGCAGCTGGTTCCACGCATCTCTGACTGCAAATTGAACGGTTTCGTATGAAGGATGATCCCAAGTGAAGGAATTTCAACAGCACTAAATATACAATCAGCTTGCCCAACACCACATCAGAACTCGCTTTTGCTTGTGCTGTGTAAGGCTCAAGCAGCGTCTTTGGCTGCTGCCCCTGATGCGCGGTGATACCTGGAATTTCCTGAGGCATATACTGTATCCTGGCAAGGGAATGCAGCTTGATGAAGACCATCTACTGTGCCACCGGCGCCTTCTTGTCATATATTGAATGCTTGTGCACCTTGGCAAGGGCCAAAATCTATCCATCCTGAAGAGCTGCTGGGTTCAAGCTATAGTAAGCTATTGCAATGCGTTTTGACAAAGAGTTTGAGTCTGTTGGGCCTCAAAGAAAACATTGCAGGTCAAAACGAAACCTTATCAAATAGACACACACTAGCACAAAAACATACAAAAACTAGCGAAGTCAATGGCGTATGTTCACCAATTTATCACATCTTCCAACAAAAACACTGAAAATCACAGGGAAGTCAGAGAAAAACCGAATCCCATTCTATCCTATCTATTTCCAAGGTTGGTCAACTTGTCTTTTGGGGACCCACATTGACCAAGTTGGCACCTTCTTCCATCGCTGCCACTCTGATCCGCTGTGTTCTTTCTTCCCCCATGACGCGCTTCTGCTTGATTCGAATTTGAATCCAGCTTTGGTATAGCACCTCCGGGCTCGCTCCTCGGTTCTTGCTATGGCCACCCGGTTTGGTAGATCGCTGGGGTTCTCAAGTCCAAGAATGGAAGAAGAAAAAGAAGATGTATATATATATTATATACATATGGATATGACGATAAAGTGGACCATCCCTGGAAGGACCCCAAATCTATCTTATTTGCCGGGATACCATGATGGTTGGCTGATGGCTTGAGGAGTGAGCCACGAAATACTTGAAACACTAAAAAGGGTACCATGAATGACGAATTGTGATCATCTCCAGGGCCTCCAGGAAGAAAAGACAATAGACATTGTTTCAATCCCAAAGTTCAATTTAAAAACCTTTCAACACGTGGCCAAATGGTAAACGTCAAACACCTTTCTGCACAGCCGAGTTACATTCGCCTTCAGGACACTGAGGTATGTTTGGTTGCATTTCCATCCGAGTCCTCAAGACAACAGCATGGTGGTCTCGCACTGTCGATGGATGAAAGCGAAGATAGGATATGATAGGATGCCCAGTGGGTTGCAGAATGTTATAGCGACTGGCAGGGTCTGAAAATCAAAACGTGAAATGCGAAACGCATCCCTCTATCATACCTCCAAATTTATAGGGTATCAGTTACTCAATATTTACAAATTTCAGCGATCGTCTCTGCAACGTGCTCCTTTTGTGGAGGGCACTGGATCCAAAAAAACACGAGCACCATGACTTCATGTGATTTCATGTGGCCGTGGCCCAACACTTGAATGTCTTCGTACCGATGTGTGTGGGAAATAAATCAGCCACACGGGTTACCGCAGCCAAGCATCGATGGCTATGCTCTTCAGCTGCTGCTAGCAGCAATTTTCCACACCCTCGATTCATATGCCTTTCATTTACCTTGGCGAGAGGATTGTTATTTGGGCCAATGAAGTACACCGTTTTCAAGGTAGATGGCTCCGCCCTCTTCCAAAGTGCGCGTATAGATGGTGCCGACTTTTTGAATTTTGACACCCGAAAAGGGCGTGACATCCATCCCCGTTATTTTTGTGGGCCGCGCCATCTATGCCAGAAAATGTTTCAGGGTTGCGCCATCTATGCAAGGATTCTTAAGTCCAAAGTTTCCAAGCCTCCATTTCCCTTCTCCTCTCCCTTTGCCCTTAACTTCCCCTTTCTCCTTCCTCCGTTCCCTTTCTCATTCCCTTCTCCCCTTTCCTTTCTCCTTTCCCTTCCCCTCCTTTCCCTCCTCCTTTCCATTTACCTTTACAAATGGAACGGTTCGGTAACCTATAGATGGCGCAACCCACAGTCATGGTTTCCCGAAGAAAAATCCTGATCCCTGTCCCTTTCGTTTTCTCCAGTCTCCTTTCTCCCTTCCCTTTCTCCTCTCCCCTTTCCCTTTGTCATTCCCTTCCCTCTTTCACCTTCAGCTTTCCTTTTCCCCCTTCCTTTTCTCAATTCCCTTTCCCTTTCTCCTTTCTCCTTTCCCTTTCTCCTTTCTCCTTCATTGTTCTCCTTTCTTCCTTTCTCCTTGCCCTTTCTTTTTCTCCTGTTTCCTTTCTCCTTTTCCTCCTCCTTTTCCTTTCCCTTTACACATGGAACGCAGTGGTAACCTATAGATGGCGCAATCCACAGTTATGGTTTCCCCCGAAAAAAAATCCTGTTGCCTGTCCCTTTCCCTTTCTCCTTTCTCCTTTCCCTCCTCCTTTCAATGTCCCTTTCCCTTTTTCCTTTTCCCTTCTCATTTCCCTGTCCCCTTTCCCTTTCTCCTTTCCCCATTTCTCCTTTCCCCGTTCCCTTTCTCATTCCCTTCCCCCTTTTCCTTTCTCCTTTCCCTTTCACTTTCTTTTTCTCCTCTTTTCCCTTTCCCTTTACAAATGGAACGCACTGGTAACCTATAGATGGCTCAACCCACAGCTATTTATGGTTTCCCAAAGAAAAATCCTGTTGCCTCCCTTTCGTTTTCTCCTTTCTCTCCTCCTTTCAATGTCCCTGTCCCTTTTTCCTTTTCCCTTGTCCTTTCCCTTTCCCCTTTCTCCTTTCTCCTTTCCCTTTCTCATTCCCTTCCCCCTTTTCCTTTCTCCTGTCCCTTTGTCCTTTTCCCTTTCTTTTTCTCCTTTTTCCTTTCTCTTTTCCCTCCTCCTTTCCCTTTACCTTTACAAATGGAACGGTTCGGTAACCTATAGATGGCGCAACCGACAGTCATGATTTCCCGAAGAAAAGCCCTGATCCCTGTCCGTTTCGTTTTCTCCTTTCTCCTTTCTCCTTTCCCTCCTCCTTTCACTGTCCCTTTCCCTTTCTCCTTTCCCTTTCCCCTTCCCTTTCCCCTTCCCTTTCTCCTCTCCCCTTTTCCTTTCTCATTCCCTGCCCCCTTTCACCTTCAGTGTTCCCTTTCCCCCTTCCTTTTCTCAATTCCCTTTCCTTTCTCCTTTCTCCTTCATTGTTCTCCTTTCTTCCTTTCTCCTTGCCCTTTCAGATTATGACTATTGGAGGAGTACCCCCTAATTAAGTAACCATGGTTTATTAATCCGGGGTTGACATTACACAGAATGTGTGTTCCTACATGTTCTGCAAAGATGGTTTGCCAGTGTGTTGAGCCATCTCTCCGTGTTTTGACTTGAGCCATCTCTCCATGACACAAGCGGATGGCACTGTCCCAGGGGGTTGCGCCATCTATTTAGTAGTGAAAAAAAAAACGAGAAAAACTATTGTTGAACACACATCCCCGTTATTTTTTCAACGCTTTGATGACCGAAATGTCCGGTCCCGGAAGAAGGGATTTAAATTAAAAATGGGGTAGATGGCGCAATTTGGCCCATTTTGCACATGTAGGGTTGCGCCATCTTCTGGGCACTTTTGCTGTTTCGGGTACATATCCTTAAAAAAAACACTGTTAAATAGATGGCGCAACCACCTCTGAAAAAGTAGGTCTGAGCCATGTACTTTGAACCTGGAGTAATATTCCCAACATAATCCGACAATGTGGAGAAAAACAATGCCTATCTGAAACTTGCAAACATTGTAGTTAAAACATCCAAGAAACCTTCACATGCGATATCGACAGTTCCTCCTGCTTGGGTGCGTAGCGCGCCTTACGAACCAGGATGCGCACATTGGAGAGATCAAGTGCATGCACATGCGTTTTATTAAGAACCAACAAACATAGAATATAATATCATATTATATAATATACTAAAATAATAAACACAATATAATAGAATATAAAAACAAAATAAAACATAAAATAACATAACATGATATAGAACAAAAAACTATAACATAAAATATATAATTGAAAATATTGTAAATAATAAATTGTAAACAAAATATAATATACTATATAAAAATACAGTATATGGTAAATAATATTTGATATATAATATATAGTATATTATATTTAATGTATAGCATATTATATATATAGTATAAAATATAATTTATCTTTAAAACAATGTAAAATAAATAGTATACAACATATTAAATATATATATATAACAAAAACAAACATATATATATATAAACAAATAGATATGAAGAAAAACAATGAAAATACAGAAAATTATATCTAATAACAATATAATACAATATAATACAATATAATACAATATAATACAATATAATACAATATAATACAATATAATACAATATAATACACTATAAGACACTATAAGACACTATAATACAATATAATACAATAAGACAATATATAATACAATATAATATAATATAACATATTTTAATTTAATTTTAATCTTAAAATATCATAAACTAAAACAAAAACAAATATAAAATATAATAAAATAGAATACAAGATTTTTTAAAAAAAACATAATATACTATAAATAAAAACTGATCATATATAATGTAGTAACATACAAAAAATACAATATAATGTAATAAAATAGACTGCAATACAATGTAATATAATAAAATAAAATATTATATTATATTATATGATATGATATAATTGGATATTATACAATATATAATAATATAATAATACAAAAACTATGAATAATTATATAAGAATACCCAATATCAAAAATATATAAGAAAATAAAGCATGATATGATATGATATGACACAAAATTGTATAATTTTAAGAAACATATATAGATATATGTATAAGTACAGTATGTGGATATGGGCCACTCAAGACAAAAAAGGACACGATGTTTGCAATAAATGTGACATGAATAACCTCCCTTGAGCTACTTGGTCAGACAAGATCATGAAGCCGCGAAAATGTGCCTCCATCAGCACGGGGTGCGTCCAAGAAGCATGGACATAGCCCGCCAGCGACATCGACTTGAGCTCAACCAAGGGCAGCGTAAAGTGATGCGGCCTTTGTCCAGCCACCACCGCCTGCCAAAGAGTTCCAGGGGAGTCACTGGACACCCCAAATCCCTTTGGGGCCCCAATGGCGACTACTGCAGTGGCATCAATGACATCGATGTTGCCGGCAACAGGTCCCTTATGATTCTATATGCCTCAATATTTTTTTGTTTTGCGATGTTTTCTGCCTGGCATCGTTTGAGGAATACGAGAAACTGGAATAGTCTCACATGTCCCATGAAGACTTGCCATTCGTCGAACTGTAGCAACAACAACACCAGCAACACCAACAGCAACAACAACATCAACAGCAGCAGCAAAAAACAACAACCAGAACAACAATCACATCAAACACAAATACAAACATGACGAAGGCGCAACAATTTAAAAAAATCAAAACAACGTCCAACAGTTAACTATAAGGAAACCAACCAGAATGTTTTAGTCGATGCGTTTATTGAAAATGGATGTCTACACAAACAAACATATAAACATCCGTCCGGGGGGTTTTTCGGACCTTAATTTACAATCGCATGTGCATTTTGTATTTGCAGGGCCATGCGAATTGCAACTTCATATCTGCAAGGAATTTGATCAAATTCCTTTCCCCCAAGTGTCTAATGTTGGTTCCTGATTAGTGTGTGGCCCCCGCCCCCTCCCCCCAAACAATATTTGGACTCTCTTTAAGGTGGAAAGTCATTTTTTTTCCCAAGAGAAAAACAATCCTCACTTAAGTAAGGATTTCAATTGGTTACAATTGAAATCTAATTAAAACTGTTTTTCGCCGATGAACTTGTGGTACTTGTAGTACTTGTAGTACTGGTAGTACCTTTAGTACTTGTAGTACATGTAGTACTTGTAGTACGTGTAGTACTTGTAGTACTTGTAGTATTTGCAGTACCTGTAGTACTTGTAGTACTTGTAGTACCTGTAGTACTTGTAGTACCTGTAGTACTTGCAGTACTTGTAGTACTAGTAGCACTTGTAGTACTTGTAGTACTTGCAGTTGTAGTACCTGTAGTACTTGTTGTACTTGTAGTACTTGTAGTGCCTGTAGTACTTGTAGTGCCTGTAGTACTTGTAGTACTTGTAGTACCCACAGCTTGCACAGCTTGCTACAATAGTGAACCCAGCAAACAAAACTACTAAAGTGAAATGGAGCCTCTCCGGGTCCAGGGCCTTGGAAAATTGTGGAAAAGCTGTTCTTTAATAAGAGTTTAATAAGGGATTTGCTCCTTTGGGAAAGGCTTGGAGTTTGAATTTGGCAATTGCTTTTGGAAAAGGCGTGCTTCTCTTTTGGGCATCCAGGAGCTGCTCTGGCACAGCTCGCCACAATAGTGAACCCAGCAAACAAACCTACTAAAGTGAAATGGAGCCTCTCCTGGTCCAGGGCCTTGGAAAATTGTGGAAAAGTTGTTCTTTAATAAGGGTTTAAGGGATTAGCCCCTTTGGGAAAGGCTTGGGGTTTGAATTTGGCAATTGCTTTTGGAAAAGGCTTGCTTCTCTTTGCTTGCTACAATAGTGAACCCAGCAAACAAACCTACTAAAGTGAAATGGAGCCTCTCCGGGTCCAGGGAAAGGCTTGGAGTTTGAATTTGGCAATTGCTGTTGGAAAAAAAGTCTTCCTCTCAGCAATTACAGGTTGTTTTTTCCAAAAAAACTATCTCCCATTTTTTTTGCCACAAAAGTGAGCCCTCCAAACAATACATGGGTTTCAGATGGTTTCAGAATAATTTGGAGAAAATTTGCCACAATAGCGAACCTAGCTACTAATCAGGAGCCAACATTAACCCCTGGGTGTTGGGCCATTTCGTTTTGATATATGCATGCTTTGCTTATCAATATGTTTTCGTTTTCATCCAAAAGTTTCTTGGTGCAACTGTCGACAAGTAGCCTGAAACCTGTGTTTCTTCTGGACCTGCCGCCAGTGCCACTGCTGCGCTTCTGTCCTAATTCCAGCCATATCCTATGACGTAACATGTAACATCTTTACTCGGTCAACACAAACAACTTAACGTAACATGCAACATCTTTACTCGACCAACACAAAGAACCTAACGTAACATGTAACATCTGTCTGTCTTAACTCCAGCCATATCCTATGACGTAACATGTAACATCTTTACTCGGTCAACACAAACAACTTAACGTAACATGCAACATCTGTACTCGACCAACACACAGAACTTAACGTAACATGTAACATCTGTCCTAACTCCAGCCGTAGCCCATGACGTAACATGTGTAACATCTTTACTCTACCAAGACACAGAACTCAACGTAACATGCAACATCTTTACTCGACCAACACACAGAACTTAACGTAACATGTAGCATCTGTCCTAACTCCAGCCGTAGCCCATGACGTAACATGTGTAACATCTTTACTCGGCCAACACACAGAACTTGACGTAACATGTCACATCTGTCCTAACTACAGCCATATCTTTTAACTTTTAACGTAACATCTAACATCTTTCACTCTGTCAACACAAACACTTTAACGTGACATGTAACATCTTTACCCTGTCAACACAAACAACGTAACGTCACATGTAACCTCCGTCCTACCTCCAGCCATATCCCATAACGTAACATCTAACATCTTTCCACAAACGCATTCGCTTCTGCTTAGAATCTACGTCAAGGTTCATACGCCCCCACCCCCCACCCCACCCCACTCATAACATCAAAATGGTTCGGAAGTGCATCAACACAAAACAGTGAAAAAAAAGTCCGGTTTTCACCCCGCTGGCAAAAACATGCTTAATACATTCATTGAATGCCCCGCGGTCATTTTTTGTTTTCAAGAAATGGTCATAGCCATCTTGACACAAGCGGCATAACTCTCAATCAACCTGTTCCTAACACAGCCACTCTGCAAAACAAATAGAAGTTGTTCATGCAGCACTGGCATTGAGCGCGGACACACACACACACTTGCTCAGACTTGTCTTATCGAATTGTGATGTAGAATGCGTCAGACGCGCAAAACACACTCCAATTAATCCTGACCAGAGGGATGGAAAGAATTGACAATAGGAGCTGACCCTCCACTTCCAAATTCCAAATAAACACCGAAAAAGTTGTCGAAACTACCATCGCCAGAGCCAGTGAAGTCGAACCACAGTCTTGAGTTGCGCCAGAAGAAAACAGGAACAAAAAGGAATTGAAATTACAAAATCGATATGCCGGTTCTGGGCTTAGCCGGCCGCCATCGACAAGAAATCTAACACTGAGATTGTTCTGCAGGTACATCACCAGGCGTCCCTGGTGATATCCTAGGATCATATGAGGAGCTTCGTTGGATGGAGCCTCATGTGTCCTCTCCATCCCCCTGCAACAAAAATCATGAAGGTACAAGTTTTACATCTATTGAGATGTTTCACACACACACACGCCCAGCAGCAGCGTTTTTTTTTAGGCTCCGGCTTTTTAAGGCTCCGACAAGTGAGATGAAGGTGAAGATCAAAGGAAATGGAAATGAGATGGCGATGGGAATGAGATGACAAACTACTTCACCGGGAGACGAGACGGAGAACGCAAAAGAGGAAAGGAAAAGGGGAAACACCAACACCAACACACCTAGCCCAGAGCTGGCAAACCCTGAAAAAGGGCAAGGGAAAAGAAAAAGCAGACGGATGACGGGCCAAACACCGACCAGAGAAGGGGGAGGCGGTCGGAAGCGCCTGACACAACCTACAAGGCGAGAGCCAAACCTATATACCTCGGCACGCGATAGACCCAAACCTGACCTAGCGAGGGAGCACGCATGAGATAGGGGACCAATGGGGAACTAGTTTCCGCAATCGCACCCTCAAGGCCCTGGGTCGTCATTTCGATTCAACCCTATGGACGGCTGTCAATGGTCCCCAGCTGAATGAGGTGCACAATTGAACCTCACCAACGACCATAAAAAGAAAAAGTCACCAAACCTGAAGGCATGTACCTGCCTGAAATCGTCAACATGTTGCCATGACAGCGGTCTCTCTCTCTCTCTCTCGAGCAACGGAGAAAAATGAAGGAGGAGGATTACACGGCTAACAAAAGGAATTGAAGCCCGGTACTGCGGCCAGTTGTTCGACCAGCGATGAACGACAGGGTGAAAAGCTAAAAATGGCCAACTGTTCCACTTTTTTGAGACGGATCATGGGTTGAAAATTGTAAATTCAGAGTCAGATCGGCGGTTCCCGTTTCCTACCTAGAAAGGTATTCCCCGAAGGGCTCATGTCATCCTGCCGAATCCAACATGAGTCACACACTTGCTCAGACTTGTCTTGTCGAATTGTGATGTGGAGTGCGTCAGACGTGCAAACACACTCCAACTAATCCTGATCAGAGAGGATGGAAAGACTTGACAATAGGAGCTGACCCTTCGCTTTCAAATTCCACATGAATGCCAAGAAGTTGTCGAAACTACCATCGCCAAAGCCAGTGAAGTCGAACCACAGTCTTGAGTTGCACCAGAAGAAAACAGGAACAAAAAGGAATTGAAATTACAAAATCGATATGCCGGTTCTGGGCTTAGCCGGCTGCCATCGACAAGAAATTCAACACTGAAATTGTTCTGCAGGTACATCACCAGGCGTCCCTGGTGATATCCTAGGATCATATGAGGAGCTTCGTTGGATGGAGCCCTGCAACAACTAGACGACGGATGGCCCGAGAGCGTAGAGGAGCAGGGTCTTCTCTTGTTAGTATGGAGACACCATATTACAAAACCATATATTAAAGATATGTTATACGCAGTCGAAAAGAGGAGTATCAAGACAATATAGCATAAGTACAAGACAATAGTTGCATAAGCTCTTTACACACAGACACTTTTACACACAGACGCTTTGACACACAGACACTTTTAACACAGACCCTTTTACACACAGGAGCTTTTACACACAGAAGCGTTTACACGCAGACGCTTTTACACACAAAAGCTTTTACACACAGAATCTTTTACACATAGACGCTTTTACACATGGACACTTTTACACGCAGATGCTTTTACACACAGACGCTTTTACACACAGACGCTTGCACACACACAGGCGCTTTCACACATTAACGCCTTTACACACAAACACTTTTACACACAAACACTTTTGCACACAAAAGCTTTTACACACAGACGCTTTTACACACAACACTTTTACACACAGACGCTTTTACACACAGACGCTTTTACACACAGACACTTTTACATACAGACACTTTGACACACAGATGCTTTTACACACAACCGCTTTTACACACGGACACTTTTGCACGCAGGTGCTTTTACACACAGACGCTTTTACACACAGAAGCTTTTACACACAGACGCTTTTACACACAGACGCTTTTACACACAGACGCTTTTACACACAGACGCTTTTTACACACAGGCTCTTTTACACACAGACGCTTTTACACACAGAGACTTTTACACACAGACGCTTTTACACACAAGCGCTTTTACACACGGACGCTTTTACACTCTAACACTTTTACACACAGACGCTTTTACACACAGACGCTTTTACACACTAACGCCTTTACACACAAACACTTGTACACACAGACACTTTTGCACACAAAAGCTTTTACACACAGACGCTTTTACACACTAACACTTTTACACACAGACGCTTTTACACACAGACGCTTTTACACAGAGACGCTTTTACACACAAACGCTTTTACACACAAACGCTTTGACACACAGACGCTTTTACACACAAACACTTTGACACACAGACACCTTTGCACACAAAAGCTTTGACACACAAACACTTTTGCACACAAAAGCTTTGACACAGAGACGCGTTTACACACTAACACTTTTACACACAGACGCTTTTTTACACACAGACGCTTTTACACACAGACGCTTTTACACACAGACGCGTTTACACACAGACGCTTTTACACACAGACGCTTTTACACACAGACGCTTTCACACACAGACGCGTTTACACACAGTTTTTGACGATCGAACCTCAGTTCGTGCGCAAGGGTTTGCGGGACAAGTGAAATCGCAATTTTACCTCAGTTTTTGTCGATCGAACCTCATTTTGTGCGAAAGGGTTGCGCGGGACACTTTGCAATCGCAATTTTACTTCAGTTTTTGACGATCGAACCTCATTTCGTGCGAAAGGGTCGCAATTTTACCTCAGTTTTTGACGGTCGAACCTCGTTTCGTGCGAAAAGGTGCGCGGAACGACTTGCAAATGGCAATTTTACCTCGTTTTTGACGATCGAACCTCGTTTCGTGCGAAACGGTTGCGCGGGACAAGTTGAGATCGTAATTTTACCTCAGTTTTTGACGATCGAACCTCATTTCGTGCGAAACGGTGCACGGGACACCTTGCAAATCGCAATTTTACCTCAGTTTTTGACGGTCGAACCTCGTTTCGTGCGAAAAGGTGCACGGGACGACTTGCAAATGGCAATTTTACCTCGTTTTTGACGATCGAACCTCGTTTCGTGCGAGACGGTTGCGCGGGACAAGTTGAGATCGCAATTTTACCTCAGTTTTTCACGATCGAACCTCGTTTCGTGCGAAAGGGTTGCGCGGGACAAGTTGAGATCGCAATTCTACCTCAGTTTTTGACGATCGAACCTCGTTTCGTGCGAAAGGGTTGTGTTTCGTGCCATCTCGTTGGCACTGCCCCTGCCCCCGCCTTCAGCATGAAATAGAAAAGAAGGAGAGGGCAAGAGGGCAAGAGGGCAAGAGGAGAAGATGTGAAGATGTGAGGATGTGAAAATGTGAAGATGTGAAGATGTATGATGAGAAGATGTGTAGATGAGCAGATGTGAAGATGAGAAGATGTGAAGATGAGAAGATGTGAAGATGAGAAGATGTGAAGATCAGAAGATGGGAAGTGAGCAGGTGTGAAGATGAGAAGATGTGAAGATGAGAAGATGTGAAGTGAGAAGATGTGAAGATGAGAAGATGTGAAGATGAGAAGATGAGATACAGACCCCCACTATTGGAAGAACCCTGCGCTCAGACGCTCTCGGGAAAAATCATGAAGGTACAAGTTTTACATCTATTGAGATGTTTCACACACACACCTATGTGTGTATATATGTGTGTGTGTAAGTTCGTCGTTTATTTAACTGGTTGTTTTATATTTAGGGTCATAGCCTTTCTTTTGACAAACAGGCTTAACACTCAATCAAACTGCTGTAGACCTGTTTGATATTTGTTGGGTGCGTGTTTGTTGAAAATTCAACCGATCCAAAATCGCAAAGTAAATAGAAAAACACCGTTTTACTGAAGTCCCAAAGGACCAACCCAAAGGGCACTTTGGAGCCGGCCTGATTACGTGTAGGATATATGTCGTAAGCTTACATGTACATCCCCGTCTTTGATTGCGACCTCAAATCCATGTTCTCTGGCTATAAACACAGACGTTTATTGCGTAGCTTAGATATCGTCCTTTTCTCTCAAATCCCCATCCCAGCCACCAACCCATCAACTCCTTCCCCCAGGCCTTGATCGCCTCGACGGCGACCCCGGCCTCATCTGCAATCACCCCGACGTTCTGACACCACTCCTGGCTGAGGGCTGGTTTGCGGCTGGTGCCCAACCAAACAAAGGGTTGACAAGCAAAAAAGGAACAAAATAGGGGTGATTTGTCTCCAAATCTGCAAGTAGGGACGCAATCATCGCGCATCAAATTTCTTAGTCATTAACCTGAAATTTCTTAACTGCAAATCGGATTAATTCAGCGATGAAGTTGGATGCAAAACTGCAAACAGGTTGGGGCAAATTTTGTCTGATCTGGTTGAGGCCCCTTTTGACATTTCCAGCATGGCAAGTTTAAAGACAACACATCGAAGAGTTGCTCGGGCTCCAGCATCAAAAATAGGTGGTTAAACCAGCAATGCTCTCGGCAAAAATTGTTTTGGACAGGTCTTGGGCATTTTGTGGGCTGCGCCGACCCAAGGTGGCACCAGTCCAACGGGGGGGAAGCAATACACCGGGGGACACTTGGGAAGCATAAAGGCAGAACCACAACAGGCAACATGTTGAAACAGATTGGTCACAACATGCTTTTGGGCATGTAGGGGGGATATATAGGGAATTTGTTCTGATTCCAAATGTCACTGGCCTCTAGTATACAGTAATATTATTTTGGTCAAATATGAAAACGTTAGGGGTAAGGTCCCAAATGCCCAGCAATGCTATTCCCATGTCATGTGTTTAACATTTTAACGATGACCCTTGAGTTACCGGAAAACCAACATTTCCCTGCAAATGACCTGTCATCAGTCCCGAGTAAAGCTGATTTCAATAGATTGGATGTGATCAATGCTGTGCCGGCTGTGTGCCGGCTGTTTGAATTTGCACGAATCTGAATCCTGGAATAAAGAAATTCAAAGGACAGGCTGGGGTTGCTATCCAAACTAATATAAAGGTCTCCTCTCATTTCATTGTTTCCCTAAAACCGCTTCTGATAGGTTGCAACACCACCCCCATCTGCCCACGATCTTGCGTCCTGTGGCGACAGCTCTAAGAACCACGCTTCGTATTGGAGGAGCCTCAGATGTACCCGTCAGCACTGTGCCAGGTTTGAGCCTGGCCTGCACAAATGTCAAATCACTTCCCCAACACTGTAGCCAGCAGTTGTTATACATGTAACCGTGCTATTTGCGGGTTGATTGGTTTATCTATGTGCAATTGAAACACAATATATATATATCCCAACAAGCAAAGCCCCAGGAACTTCACCATGAATTCACTTTCTCAATCAGTCATCCCTGTGGCCTCCGTTGTCGCACAGATTTCCCCTGACTGAAGATTTCATGGGGTGGAAGCCGCTGCGGCCGCTGGAGGCGCGGATCGGCTCAAATTAACAAATGTCATTCCCGATATCTTGTTGTCCCACACTTCGACTATACCATCCGGCAGACCGTGACCTGCACCCTCGCTGTTCAAGAGACTGGGCATGATCTGCCACAAAAATTTTTTCGCAAATGCGCAGCTGTGCTGCGCATTCTGCCGGGCAGGTTCGGAGAACAGCGTAGCTGTCATTTTTGTCGATAATGTCCTTTCACTGGAACACACAACATACGAAATCATATGAACATCAATGAATATAGCTAACCGGATTTCTCCAAGCATGAAATGCATCTTCATTCTGTGTTAACTACGCGTACTATAGGTGCATATGTCATGCATGTCCCTCCCTGTTCCGATACTTTAAAGGAAAAAACATACCTGTAGACGCACAAACGACCAAAATATTCAAGTACAAATAAGTCACTGTACTAGTTTTAGATGCTTCGGGAGGGAAACAGTGGTAGTCCTGCAAACCAAATTTCTCTTGGCAAAACGACTGCTTTCAATGCTTCACAGGGTTTGAACTAGAATCTGCAAGAACCTGATTGAATTTGCATTGGCGATTGCATTGCATCTCCCTGTTTCCAAAACAAGGATGTTGTTCTCTTTTGTTGGGAGAAAGCTGTTCTGGAAGCACATCCAAATGTCTAGCCGTCCTCATTCTGAGGTGGAAATTCAGAAATGGTGGGCGTGCACATACTCTCTTGAAAACAACGAACGCAAAAACCCGCAAAATCCATCAAAACCCCACAAAAGCCCACAACTCCAAAAGATGTAGGTATATTGCACTATTTTGGGTGATTTGAAATACTTTTATATACATCATGCCTGAGAAGGACATTTATAAATGTTTTGTTGGCCCAATCTCAAAAGCTTTCTTATCCAGAACAGGTACCGAGGGGAATTGATGCCTGTCTGGGCCTCACCGCGATTATAGTTGTGAATAGGTATTATAGGTATGTTTTTTAAACATTTATCTATGGGTAGCAAATAATTGTAGGTAGCATTTGCAAGGTGTAAGAAGTATAATGATATAGGTAGTGGTGAAGCTATGTGTATACTAAACAAAGGTGTATCATGTTACTTGGGAATGTATGTTTTGGGAGTGTATATGGTGGTTGGTCAAAACGTTTTTCCCAGAAGTGTGCAAAAGCCGTAAATAGCTGGCCCGCACATAACTTTGCTTCTGCGTCATGTATCTTGTTATGTCTTCTAAATCACAGGGAATCAAAGGGAGGAGAATCATTGTTGCATTTCGTTGCGAAGTCGCTAGCGCGCGGCACTTTCAACCACTCTCCGACGAGGAGGATGGCGTGCTACTGTCTGATTCTTGTGCCATGTCCTGCAGATATCGCCTTTGGCGAGTGCCTTTGGCACGCCTTGCTTGAAAAGCTCTTTGGTTCTCTTTGGTACCTACCTAAACCTATTCGAGCCCTACTCTCTGGAAATCTTTGGTACTTCCATTTGACGTCAGGCCCGTTCATGTTTCGAGCCTAAAGAATCTAAAGAGGTGCCACAACAAATGTTTGACTTCTGGGCCAGGGCTGGTATTGCCACATGTTCGCTAGCGCGGATCTAGCGCGGCTCTAGCGCCAGGCTAGCGTGGATGACGGCGCTTCTTTCGGAAATATTTGCGATAAGCACTGGGGTTCTCAAAAAAATGCAATGGCTGAACTTTGCGACACCCAAAACACCCATACCAGGCATGCAAAGCATTCCGGATACTGGTGGCAAACAGCAAACTGTCACATCATCTCAATACCATGCCAATTCCACGTACACAATACTAATACGATCTAATAAAGAAATTTCCTTCCAATGTCAAGTCGGGTTTACAAGAGAACTGCTTCCTGGGAATGTTAAAACCAAAAAATGCTAGCGCACTGCTAACGCTAGAATAGCGCCAAGCTGCAGACAGGCCGTGTTTTGTTTGGGGACCCGCTACATAATGAAGACTAAAAACCTATCGTCCAGAATTAATTTCGCAACATTTACTTTTCCTTACTAAGGATTTTTGACCGGATCCCATACGTAAATATTTGTAGGTACATACTGCGTCCAAGCAGTACAAACATATAGGATTATATAGGTATGCATAGGTATGTTTTGGGTATGTAATCTACATGTTGTAAATGTGTAGCAGAAGGCAAACACTGAGTGATAAACCATGTGTCAGGCACGCCTTGGGCAGTACGTTCTAGATATGTTAGACGTACACAGCTAGACTAGACAGGGTCCAGTGACGAGGCTGTGGCTTTCACGTGTCGCAAAAAAATTGGCTCATTTGTATGTATGTATGTATGTATGAATGTATGTATGTATGTATGTACGTATGTACGTATGTATGTATGTATGTCTGTATGTCTGTATGTATGTATGCATACATGCATGCAATGTAACGCAATGTAAATGTAATCTAATCCAATGTAATGTATGTATGTATGTATGTCTGTATGTATGTATGCATACATGCATGCAATGTAATGCAATGTAAATGTAATCTAATCCAATGTAATGTATGTATGTATGTCTGTATGTCTGTATGTATGTATGCATACATGCATGCAATGTAATGCAATGTAAAGGTAATCTAATCCAATGTAATGTATGTATGTATGTATGTATGTAAGTATGTCTGTGTATGTATGCATACATGCATGCAATGTAATGCAATGTAAATGTAATCTAATCCAATGTAATGTATGTATGTATGTATGTCTGTCTGTATGTCTGTATGTCTGTCTGTATGTCTGTATGTCTGTGTGTATGTATGTATGTATGTATGTATGTATGTGTGTATGCATGCATGCATGTATGTATGTATGTAGGAACGTATGTAGGAACGCATGTAGGAACGTATGTAGGAACGTATGTCCGTACGTACGCATGTATGCATGTATGCATGTAATGTTAGCTCCTGATTAGTAGCTAGGTTCGCTATTGTGGCAAATGTTCTCCAAATTATTCTGAAACTCATGTATTGTTTGGAGAGTTCGCTTTTGTGGCAAAAAAATGGGAGAGCCTTTTTTTTGGAAAAAAACAACCTGTAATTGCTGAGAAGCAAACTTTTTTCTCAAAAACGCTGAAGCTCGGTCAAGTTTTTGCTCAGCTCTCTATCTGAGCCTGTAAATGCATCTCTATCTGAGTAGGTTTGTTTGCTGGGCTCACTATTGCAGCAAGCTGTGCCAGAGCAGCTCCTGGAAGCCCAGAAGGGAAGCAAGCCTTTTCCAAAAGCAATTGCCAAATTCAAACCCCAAGCCTTTCCCACAGGAGCCAATCCCTTATTAAACCCTTATTTAAATGCCTTATTAAAGAGCAGCTTTTCCACAATTTTCCAAGGCCCTGGGCCAGGAGAGCTCCATTTCACTTTAATAGGTTTGTTTGCTGGGCTCACTATTGCAGCAAGCTGTGCCAGAGCAGCTCCTGGAAGCCCAGAAAGGAAGCAAGCCTTTTCCAAAAGCAATTGACAAATTCAAACTCCAAGCCTTTCCTAAAGGAGCCAACCCCTTATTAAACCCTAATTAAATGCCTTATTAAAGAGCAGCTTTTCCACAATTTTGCAAGGCCCTGGGCCAGGAGAGGCTCCTTCACTATTGCAGCAAGCTGTGCCAGAGCAGCTCCTGGAAGCCCAGAAGGGAAGCAAGCCTTTTCCAAAAGCAATTGCCAAATTCAAACTCCAAGCCTTTCCTAAAGGAGCCAATCCCTTATTAAACCCTTATTAAAGAACATCTTTTCCACAATTTTCCAAGGCCCTGGACCAGGAGAGGCTCCATTTCACTTTAGTAGGTTTGTTTGCTGGGTTCACTAGTGCAGCAAGCTGTGCCAGAGCAGCTCCTGGAAGCCCAGAAGAGAAGCAAGCCTTTTCCAAAAGCAATTGCCAAATTCAAACTCCAAGCCTTTCCCACAGGAGCCAACCCCTTATTAAACCCTTCTTAAAGAACAGCTTCTCCACAATTTTCCAAGGCCATGGACCAGGAGAGTCCCCATTTCACTTTAGTAGGTTTGTTTGCTGGGTTCACTATTGCAGCAAGCTGTGCCAGAGCAGCTCCTGGAAGCCCAGAAGGGAAGCAAGCCTTTTCCAAAAGCAATTGCCAAATTCAAACCCCAAGCCTTTCCCAAAGGAGCCAATCCCTTATTAAACCATTATTAAAGAACAGCTTTTCCACAATTTTCCAAGGCCCTGGGCCAGAAGAGGCTCCATTTCACTTTAGTAGGTTTGTTTGCTGGGTTCACTGTTGCAGCAAGCTGTGCCAAAGCAGCTCCTGGAAGCCCAGAAGGGAAGCAAGCCTGTTCCAAAAGCAATTGCCAAATTCAAAACCCAAGCCTTTCCCAAAGGAGCCAATCCCTTATTCAACCCTTATTAAGGGCACCATTTCACTTTAGTAGGTTTGTTTGCTGGGTTCACTATTGCAGCAAGCTGTGCCAGAGCAGCTCCTGGAAGCCCAGAAGAGAAGCACGCCTTTTCCTGGAACTACTACAATTACTTTAAATACTACAACTACTAAAGGTACAACAAGTACTACAAGTACAACAAGTACAACAAGTACTACAAGCACTACAAGCACTACAAGCACTACAAGTACTACAAGTACTACAAGTACTACAAGTACTACAAGTACTACAAGCACTACAAGTACTATAAGTACTACAAGCACTACAAGTACTACAAGCACTACAAGTACTACAAGTAGTACAAGTACTACAAGTACTACAAGCACTACAAGCACTACAAGTACTACAAGTACAACAAGTAGTACAAGTAGTACAAGTACTACAAGTACTACAAGCACTACAAGCACTACAAGCACTACAAGCACTACAAGTACTACAAGCACTACAAGCACTACAAGCATTACAAGTACTATCAGTACTACAAGTACTACAAGTACTACAAGTACTACAAGCACTACAAGCATTACAAGTACTATCAGTACTACAAGTACTACAAGTACTACAAGTACTATCAGTACTACAAGTACTACAAGTACTACAAGCACTACAAGTACTACAAGTACTACAAGTACTACAAGTAATACAAATACCACAACTTCATCGGCAAAAAAACAGTTTTAATTAGATTTCAAGTGTAGCCACTTGAAATCCTTACT